TATTCCCTTCTTCGGAAGTTTATAATAGAAGATTTATCTACGTTTTGGGTTGTTTAAGTGTGAATTCCTTAAGCCAGTAAACTGTGAGGAACCTCTCTGGTTCTATTATTTCTTTGCATATTACAGAAATATGGAACTGCTTGTATCAATAAGTCTAATGTTAGAAAGTTAATTGTTTAGGATTATTGTGTTGCCTGCTAGAATGCTTGTAGTTACAGTGTTTGCTTCCTGTTGTCTCTGAATGACTAATATTTGAACATGGTCCATAAAATGACATTCTCAACACTTTTAATGAGAGATTGGCAGTGAAGCTGCTAGTGCATGGATTTCAGTGTTCTCTGTTAAGCTATAGGTCAAGGTGTGACATGGCCAAAAAGTTTGTTGTATGGAATCAAAGTGAATGATTATCACATTATATCTTATTAAAACTTTAAATTATAAATAATCTGAAATTTTCTGCAATTTGTGTCAGGCTAAGGAGATATTATCACACTATCCATCCAACTATAAGCAATCTGCTGTCATTCCTTTGCTTGATCTTGCACAACAGCAGAATGGAGGTTGGCTTCCAGTTTCAGCAATGAATCATGTATGTTAATTTCATCTTTTAATATTTATTTGTATTGAATACAGTTTTTAATGTGTATAAAAGTCTGAATAGGATAGCACCGATAGAGATCAGTTGCGGAAGCTTGAATAAGAGAGCTGCCATGCTTTACACTCGTCTAGTTAAGCTGCAAATTCATTTTTTTTTTAATTATATTTTGGGATATCCTTTTAAGAAATTGTCAAAGATTCGTGCACACTGATAAAAGCTCAATAACCTGTTACTGTGAAAGACTAAAGACGACCTCCATGAGTAATAGCAACTTTTTGCTTATATACTAAACTTAAACCATTGTTGCAGAAAGAATGAAAAAAAAATTATAAAAGAAGCGCTCTACAAATATTTTGTGAATCTCATTCTGGTGATTCTGGCCTTTTGCTTCATCAATATGGACATAGTAACTGCATTTCAGTAAAAGATGTTCTTTCAGAGCAAAACCAAAATCAGATTGGGTGTCTGTTTCTTCCTAGAAGCTGATAGAGCCGCCTTCTGCACACTTGTTCCAAGCAAAAATCTCTGAAATTTCTCCAGTGAGACGGTTTTGTTTGCCACCTTAGGTTTGCTGCGTACATTATTGAAGATCATTGCTAACTATATAACATGCATTTAAATTGCATTGCCCCCTAAGCAGCTTGTATACTTCATGTTCCACTTAAGGTTGACATGTTCACTTGTTAGTGTGCCAGTTTAACTCCACCCTATCAGAGAAGAAACTAGTGTTTTTCACTGCACACTTGGGTCAGTAATCGTATGAAACTCTTTCATTTGTCTACTAAAATATATTGGCAGTGTGAGGTCTAATGATTGGTCTCATGACTCATAGGATATTCTGTCTTTTACTTGATGCTTCAATATATAGTTAATAATTTGATTATCTTATAAATAATATTTAACCATGCTGTTTGTTGTTTCTAACCAATAATCATGCAATGTTTGCGGATTTATTATAGGTTGCTAAAGTCATTGAAGTTGCTCCGATTCGTGTGTATGAGGTGGCAACCTTTTATTCAATGTTCAACCGAACAAAGGTAGTTATTTTGCATTGAGTTTTTATTGTTACATATTAGACATGTTTTTTTTTTTTTTTCTTTTTTTTTTCCTCCTTAATTAAGTTAATTGATGGAAATTAAAGGTTGGAAAATACCATCTTTTGGTATGCGGCACAACTCCTTGCATGATACGCGGTTCAAGAGAAATTGAAGAAGCATTGCTGAACCATTTGGGAGTAAAACGCAATGGTATGACTCCTATTCTACATTTGTGTTAATGAGTTGCTTTGATTTGGATGAAATAACAGTAAAGAGAAGCTTTTTATTTCCTTTTGCAGAAGTAACGAAGGATGGCTTGTTTTCTGTTGGAGAAATGGAGTGTATGGTGAGTCTTCCCCGGAGATTATCTTTCAGTAGGAATTCCCTTCACTTTTGCTCAGTCTTTACTCTTTACCCTTCTACTATGGATAGTAAGGGTGTGATTGGATATGGATTTGATTAGTTTTTGATTGATTTTTTTTGTTTTTGTTTTTTTTCAAAACATTAGGCGATTGGTTTTTTTTGTTAACCATAGTTAACTTTAAAAAATATAGTATGGTTAGTTGTGAATGAGAATTTAAAATTAAATTAAAATAATATTTAAAATATAATAATTAAAGTTGATTTGATGTAAAGTAGGAGACAAATGATTGGAAATGATGGTTAGTTAAATTATGTGAATAGATGAATAGTGAATTAAAGTTGATGTGATGTGTAAGGATGATTGGTGATATTATTTAATTATATTGATAATATTGAGGATAGTGGGGTTGGGTTAAAATTGAGTTAAACTTCGAGTTTTAATTGGTATTTTACTAGTGAAGTTTATATCCAATCACACCCTAAATGAATTTTGTTCAAACGTAAGGACAAAACTTTGGGGTTAAAGGTGCACCACTGGGTCGCTCCACAGCCTCCACTGGTAGATATCATTTTGCAATAATACTTTTCAGAGTAAATTTGTATTTTAGCTATATATTCCGAAGGGCATGTTTATATTGAACATTTGATTCCACCGGGTAGGGATCGATAAGAAACATAAATATTACATACACAAGTGGTTGTAAATTATTTTTTCCTATGGGCTTGGTAATCCTGTTTATATGTGCTAAAAAATGTGAGAATTTATTGGGAAAAACTTAGATTCAAGCCATATATGATACAGCAGCATTTACAATTTACTCTTATAGATGGCAATAATGGAATGAGAATGTTCTGCTGCACAATACTCTGTTCATTTCATCTTTCTACTTTTGGCATTATTTCCTTATATTTCAAGCTCACGGGTTCCCAAAATTTTGAAGTCTATTTATTTTGAATTTCAGAAATAATGATGTGATTTATTGTTGTTTTTTTCATAGGGATGTTGCGTAAATGCTCCAATGATCACGGTTGCTGACTACTCGAATGGATCTGAGGGTTACACCTATAATTATTACGTGAGTTCCATATCTTTTCTGGTTTCGAAACAAAACTATAGTTTCATCTTGTTGTGCCGTTAAATAATAAAGAAATCTAGCGGTCTTTCAAATGTCTCAGGAAGATGTCACTCCAAAGCGAGTTGTTGAGATTGTCGAGGCTTTGAGGAGAGGGGAAAAGCCACCGGTAAGTCAATTCTTGCTGTATTTCGACCGTTTACTGTTTATCTAATCATTCTTTTTATTACCGTACTATTTTTTGTACTTTATTTTTTTCTTTGTTATATTTAACAGCGTGGCACACAAAACCCAAAACGCATCAACTCCGGGCCAGAAGGTGGGAACACTACATTGTTAGGTGAGCCCAAAGCTCCTCCATGTCGAGATCTTGATACATGCTGAACACCATAAATTTTACAATCTGTAGTTGTCCTTAATAATGATGAAAAACTTGTCTGTAAACCATGGATTACTCGAACGATTTTCATTTTTTTTTTCCCCCCTTTATGTTCTTTGGCTCTCCATGCCTGGACATGAATGATATTGTTCGACTTTGAGCTGAGTTGGTCGATTTTGCATCGGGACATAATGCTTGTGTCCATCCGATAAAGTCCTCAATGCATTGTAATTTGCAAATTCTAGCTCGTGTAATTTGATACAATTTCGTACTGGTTTTGAATCCGCGATTACATTCGCCAATAAGGTACTTTTGAAGGTAAGGGAAAATGAAAAACCCATGCTTCAAGTAACATCTTGATTTTCAAATTTTTTTGAATTGTAATTGAACTTCTAAAAAACTATTTCATAGTTTAGTTTAAGTTAATAACCTAATTCAGTTATTGTATAAAGTTACGGGATATGTATCAACCAGTTGAACACTCTTACAAAGAATGAAGTGTACCACCTGAACTACAAGTTCGTGGTATCAAATTAAGCTAAAGTAGTATTCGAGTAAAACTCTCATCTCCGTAAACGTTGGTGAAAATTTGTCAACCAGGAAAATGGGAAAAATTTATTTTTATATTCATTATTAACAAAACATCATTTTTCAACGAATAATTTAATTTATTTTTCGGCATATTGAAGCAGTTCCATTGGTACACAATTCATTCATAATTTTTAAAATTGACCAATTTGGACCAGAAAACCAAATTTCACCCGAAAAAATAAATGGGATATGCGATGTCGATTTTCGGAAAAATTTTTGGATTTCCGTTTGATATTGTCCTCCAATTGGTCAGTTTTAAAAATTACGAGAAATTATCGATTAACTGGATTCGAAGGCGACTGCTATGATACATTCAAATTTACAAAAACTGCTTTTGAAATTTCATCAAGCATCTTATATGTGTGTGTGTGTGTGTGTGTAGAGAGAGAGAGGGCAAATAAAATAACACTGTAACAACAAATTTCGTGAATTGAATTTTAAAAACACGAAAAATATTATTCAAATAAGTTTTTCGAATTAAAATAAATATAGCGGGTTACAATCTCTATTTATCTCCTCTGATTCTTCTCACAAACAATATTTAAGTCTTGGAGCGAAATCTTCGGCTTGATCTTCTCCTTGACTTGATTTGGCTTGATTAA